GCTACGGGTACGGCAGGCGTATCTTAATTTTTCGAGGCTGGGGGTACGGCCGTCCATTCGCTTTCATACTTAACGAGACAAAGATGGCGGCGGTGACGCCAGATTTCGAAATAACGCCTTGGGAAATAAATTCACGATTTGAGAGTTTAGATGAGCTAGAACCCTAACCCTAACCCTAACCCTAACCATAACCCTAAACCTAACCCTAATCCTAACCCTAACGCCAAAAAGGGGGTTCAACGACCGACGGCTACCGTACCTCCAGCCACTGCGTAAATATATAGCAGGTGAGAAAGCGCGATCCCAAAAATTCGCTCGGCGCTCGCTGCATTTCTCACGATTTCAACACAAGTACACATCCAACAGCTTCCATCATTGTTTCTCCTTCAAGAACAGTGTTCACTTGTTATAAAAACATAATGTCTCTGTTCGTAACCGAGCTGTGTCACGCGAAATCACACAAAGACGAAATTCTCGCGTTTGCTCCCGTTGCGCAGTTTATGTAAATGGCTGTCAGAATCAGGAAACGCCCACCGGCGCTCTTCGTGACCTCATTCTTACGCTGCAACGTTTTTGCAACGCTTTACTGGCGGCTTTGACGAGGCTAGTACGGGAGTTGGAAAGCAGCGTGGTAGTTTCCCAAAATGCAATGCGCCGCCTATAGCCCTGAATTTGCAGCCATTTACATAAACTGCGCAACGGAAGCGAACGCGAGAATTTCGCCAGTCTTTGTGTGATTTCGCGTGACACAGCTCGGTTACGAACACAGACAGTATGTTTTTATAACAAGTAAACACTGTTCTTGAAATAGAAATAAAGATGTCCAGAGTAGAATGGTTGAATATTTGTGTTGTATTCGTGTGAAATCAATCGAGTGTCGAGCGAATTTTGGCAGCACGCTTTCCTACCTGCTATATATTTATGTGTCAGTGTGCAGCGGCAGCAATGGCAGCAGCCATTGTTTGTTGTAGATGAGCATTTGGATGGCATTTACAGGAAATTGTCGGCAATAATAGGTGAAAGAGAGTATAGAAACATTAAGACTTTGGTAGTAAATAGATTTCGTATTTATTTAGCACTATATTTTATTGAAACGCTCCAAATGCCTGTGGTACTAACTTAGTAAGTGTAAGCGCTTTCACAAATTTTGCACATACTATTACAGAAAACTCAAGTCCTCGGCAATCATATTGCTTTTAACACTGACTTCTATAGCCTATAGAGTATAGGCTCTCTTTACGTTTATTTACTCTAAATTAACGTCTTCCGAGTTAATCTGGACATAGAGCCACTGTCAGTGACGACTGTCAGTGGTTATCTTCATTAACGTTCAAACTATTGCCGTTTAACTAATAATATTCCAATCACTAAATCAGAATCGGGAGTTGGAATACGTGTGACAACATGTACGAATATAAATGTGACCACGGGCACAGCTATGATGTTACCGTGGACACCAACCCATTTAACCAATGCTGAATGCTATTCTACGCTATTCAATGCTGTGTGTATCCACGCTAATACTTACCCTCGACTCTTTTTGATTGATCGCCATTTTGCTTCTCTAGGAATTAACGCGAACGTCTACGAGCGCCAGCGACCAACGCAGCAGTGCACAGCGACTCACTCAGCGAGATGGCCGATCCGAAGTATGCTGGCCTGCCGGGCATTGCCGTCGGCGAACCCGACGTCTATGAGACGGGCGACCTTCCAGAGGACGACCAGCACCGGCAAGCGGCCGGCGCCGCCGACGACAGCAGCGAGAGCGTCGAGAGGATCGACATCAAGGCCGGCGACGCCTTCAGCAAGTTCAAGGGCAAGAGCGTTGACGGCGCCGGGGTCGACTTCTCGGAGACGGCGGCCGCCGCGCGGCCCAACCGCGGCTACTACGCCGACAAGGCCGAGTACGAGCTGTCGGGCGGCGAGCTGCGGCGCGAGCGCGAGACACCCGCGCAGAAGCACCAGCGGCTGCAGCTGGAGATGCGCGAGCTCGCCGACGAAGTACGGCAGGCGGAGGAGGCGGTGCGCGGCGACGGCGGCGACAAGTCGAGTCCCGTGCTCGTCGCCAAGCAGGTGGAGTACCTGCAGCGGCAGCTAGCCGACCTGCAGCTCGAGACCGTGCTCGGCTCGCAGGCCGTCGTCGACAGCTCCGACCCGCAGGGGGCGCTGCAGCGCAAGCTCATCAGCCAGATCGAGGCGTTCAAGGCGGCGACAACGAAGACGGCGGCGGCCGCGGCGGCGCCCCCTAGCGAGGACCACATCATCTACGAGCTGTACTATAAGCCGGAGCAGGCGCGCTTCAGCCAGGCGGCGAAGGTGGCTGACCTCGAGGCGCGTCTCGAGCGTCTCGAGGCATCGATCGGCGGTGCGCCGGACACGCTGTCGGCGCTCTGCCAGGAGGCGGAGGGCCGCAGCCTCGTCGAGGTGTCGCGCGTGCTCGCGGGCAAGCTGGCGCTGCTCGAGCCGGCCAACCTCGACCAGGTTGAGGGCCGGCTGCAGGCGATGAACCAGAAGCTGAAGCAGATCGCCGACAAGCGGTCGGTCGTCGAGGACGCGGACGCGGTGAACCGCGTTGCCGCGCTCTACGAGCTGATGATGCGCTGGGAGCAGACGACCGCGTGCCTGCCGGCCGTCGTCGAGCGCATGTCTGCGCTCAAGGACCTGCACGAGCAGGCGCTGCAGTTCAGCCAGGCGCTCAGCTACCTGGACAGCGTGCAGCAGCAGCTCGCGTCGAGCCTGCACGCGAACGAGGCGCAGCTGAAGACGGTCAGCGGCACGTTCAGTGACAACATGGCCGCGATCAGATCCAACTGCGAGAGCCTGGACTCGCGCCTGAAGGTGCTGAACAAGTGAACGTGTCGGACTGGAGAGATGCGCATATGATACGCAGCTGCATTGCTTGCCGCTAATGTAATGCATGGATTTTTTGCGATGTAGCGCAGGTTAATACTATAAATGATTTCGTCACTTTCGGGCTGGGATTGGTTGTTCCTGTAATCTCTCATGTGCTGCCCATAACCTGACATGGTCACCATGCACGCATGTATCTAGGCATTGATGCACATGTCTTTATATAATATATAGATGAATTATATAAAATGCTACATCTAAATACTTCACCCCCTTCGTACTGCTGATTTGCAGGGGAATCATTATTGTATGTTTTTCATCATGATCATTTTTGCACATGTCCAGGTAAAATATATTATACACATTCTATCTTTATTTATTAAGTTCAAAGTGTTCAAGTTTGTTATGTAAACTTTTGGTGGCTAAACTTCTGTGTCCTACCAATTGTGTGTTTAATTTGAACAAACATTTGACATCTATGTAGCTTTGCTTTATATGTGCGGTGCCAAGAGGTATACATGTGTTAAAAAACTGCAGTACAATGTATGTGAAGAATAGTGCAGTACAATTTCTGAACGTGGGATTGAGACATCTGAAAGGGATAAAAATTTAACATTTGAAGAGCAGATATATATTAACTTGTCGTGTGCTTTACACTTGATCGTTGATGGACTGGTACACCAAGCATAGCTTGATTCCTTGCATCTGCAGGTGCTAATTAATGTTTAAACTAAATTCTTACAAGGCAGGTCGGGTAGTCCTGACCTGTCAAAAATGTGTGAGATTTAGTCGTTTTGAAACGGAATCGTGCATTTGCGACTATTATGATAAGGTCAGGAGTAGATAATAGAAGATAGATCTTCTATTATCTACTCCTGAAAAGGTGATGGTCATTTTGCAGTGTTACCTATCTGGTCGTGTTAATACGGTGTAAGCAAAGTAAAAATAAAGACTGTGAACTAGTCATATATGTCTACCACATTGTCTCTGTACTCGTAATGACAACCGTTGGGACGACACAACAAAATTGTCACAAGACAATCGCAAACAACGATTCATAATTGCATGTAAAAATTTATTTTTAGAAAGGCAACTCCAGAAACGGGAGAAAACGCACAATCGTTATTTGTCGTGCACTAACCGCCGAGTAAAAGCAAAATGAAAATGTCCCGCTGTGCTGCGTACATTCTCTTGCTGCGCCATTCGGCAATGCGCAAGCTAGCACCGCCGACGCCATATTAAAATCTGTCTGATGCGAGAAGTCCTACATTGTAGACCTCATTGCCACCGCACATAACACACGAAACGTAGACCGTACACCCGAAGACAACAATCTGGTGGGAGGGTGGTGGAGAGCAAACTTGGGATTTGCAAAAACCCAAAACGAAAGCCACATACAAGTGCACGCGACTTCTTCAAGTTGAACAATCATTGCCATGGTAACAAGGCAGCTATGCTAGCTGTGCCTTCTGTAATCGTAACACGCCGTCTCCCTTTCCGATGACGGTACCTTAATAACATGCACATCGGCACCCACACAGGTTACACTTTGGATTGCATAAACTTTTACGCTTGCAAAATCACTTTCAGTAAATGGAACGTGGTTTCAAGTAAAAAATATGTTTATAGCATTATTATCGAGTAAGACAAAAGCACGACGATCTAGCTAGCCTACATACAGTATACAACCTACTTCCAACAGATCTTTAACAGCGTCACCTGGTTCACTTTAATAATTCAACATAAATGCTAAAGTGTAAATATTAGATGCAGCGGTTACCACCTTGACCGAATGACACACATTAGCATACAGCCACGCGAGGTATTGCTCACGTTCAGTAAGCTGATATAATGCATATAAATAAAATATAAATAGTTGATCTTACATTGTCATCATTCTAACAGAAAAACAAAGTGTGTTTCTGTTTGCTCATGAATGCTGCATTTGGCAATGGAAAAACCGAGACGGTCAGATTGTGATGCATTGCAATGTGTGCAACAAGTGGATTCTCTACCGGGATATGCCGTGTCAAGGCACCCGTGCCGTCTCACACACGGATATAGCAGTCTAGATCGGCGAACGCATGCAATCTCCTCTACTCTTCGCATGGCTGTGCACTACAAAATTCTAATAGCTGTCTAAGAGCTCCTCGTATTTATACTAAAGGCACATTATTACATTCCTGCACGGTAACGAACTCAAGCACAGTGTCCATCCTCCGGTCGCACGGCAGGCAGATCGGTCGCCACCGACGGGTGGCGCCACCTATCCAATAATACGGTTAATACGGCGAATAAGGCTAGTTGCTGCAGCTCATGGCCGACACCTTCTTCTTAAAGACGCTGCTGCAGTCAAGCTTGACCTTGACCTTGGCGCGATCGGGCTGCGGCTCGGCGCTGAAGCAGAACTTCTTGAAGGCCTCCAGCTCCTTCTCGAAGTCATCGAGCTCCGAGAGCTCCTCCTCGTTCTTCGGCCGAAAGATGTCGTCTGCAATAACGACGGTGATCCCGTTAAGAGGTGACGTCACGTCGCGTGCGCTCACTATACCGTATGCATAACTTCGTAGCAAAGTACATTCCCTCGGCAGGGGGAACTTAGGGGCCTACATTGCCTACTGTTCCCTGTCCCTCCCAGTTATCATTTCCATGACTTGTAACGAAAAGTGGTCATGCTACTGTGATTCTTTCATCGACTGAGATTGAGATAAGCAGTTACGTGCATAACTCACGACGAGTGAGATAATAATAATTTCAAAATTTAATAAAATTCTATAAATTAATATATGAATTGTAAAAAATTTATTTATGTATAAATATATAAACGAAATTACAAAGTTATAAAGAAATTACCGATAGATGTATTGCCGGCAGGTCCTGGGCCAGATCCCTTGCCTTTCCGCTTGCCAACATTACTCTAAACAAATGAAAAGTAACACGTTAAACAAGCAGCACCGACTTCTTCCTTGTTCCTTACATCTCTTATAATTTTCTTGTTTTTACATGATCTCTAAATACTTTCTGGTGCACCATTGTATCGAGATGAGACAGGTTATAGACAAGCATGTCTGTGGCTCTCGAGGTTGTATTCTCCATTGTACTGTAGATGAGCTAAAGCTTTCGGTACCAAAGCTTTACTCAGACATTTTTCCAATTAATGTTTCTTGTTGAATTAAATGCAATTGTGACCACACACACTACCTTTCCAGCTTTTGGCGGTGTGGAGGCTGAGGGCTGAGCATGATTTATCTGCACCTGTGCAGGTTTCGCGGTCGTCGTATCCACTGGCAGCTGCGGAGAAGGCGTTGTCGACTGCTGCTTTGGGGGCTGCTCAGACTTTTTCTTCTTGTCCTTCTTTCGCTGCAACAATAACGTCGAAGGTTTTTCATTTGTATATACCTTCACTCTACTTATGTGTAGACATGTAACTATTCACTTACTGATTCCATAAATAGTAATAATCAGCAAGTTCCATCATTAACTTGCAGGCTAAAACAAAATACCTGACCAAAAGTCGTCAGACGGCCTAAAATCATGTAATCTTCAGAGGGAAATCAACGGTCCTCATTTCTCTGTGACTGTTCACGTACAGTACAGACAAGATAACGACTATAGCTGTGAGTGAGTTAAATATCAAAACAAGACAGCAAGCGCAGTACTCTTCAAGTGAAGTTGCAAGACAAGCGAGAGACGAGGCAGAAACGACGTTTATATGAGCGTACCTGAGATGGGGTAGATGGAGCAGGACTAGGTGCAGTGTCAGGCTGAGATTCCAGCTTTTCGAGTGCGACCGAGTTCTGCTGGCGAGCAGGCCGCGCTTGTGTGACAGTAGATCTCACTCGTGCGGGCTGCTTCTGCGGCAGAGATACCTGCGCCAACGGCCTCTGCACATTCACCTGTCAGCAGGAAGGCAGCAGGGAATGAAAATGCCAGCATATGAAAACTCAACCTACTATTCTCCGTAGTTACTCAATGTTAACACCATAATTAGTGATATTAATTAGTGATATCGGATCAGTGATCATCAGATTAGTGAAATTAAAATTACCGTGAAAAGCACGATTATCAAAACGTCACTAATCAAGTGCCAAATGCTGTCGCCAAGTTTTTACCCATTACCCTGTTCTGCAAATGTCTGTTAAGGAATACGCACACGCCCCTGGAAGGCTCAATGATCAAGACTTGATACGGTTTGCGTACGTACCACTGATGTGCTCCCCTGCTGCTTAACGAGTCCGTTTAGACGTGGCAGGGGTGTCGGTTTACCCTGCACGGGCTTGCCGACGATCTGGTAGCCGGGATTCATGTCGGGCCTCCTCGTCTCTCCGTTCTGCACGTCTCCGCCGCCGCTCCGCGCCGCTTCATTCGGTGACGGCTTCCTCCTCTTAGTCTGCTCGATGAATCCATCCTGCCGAGAGTTTTTGCTGCCGCTGCTGCTGTTGCTTGTGGCGGTGCTGCCACCACCTAGAGATAGAGCCTCGTGCTGTGGGCTCCTGCTGACGTTACGAGCAGGCACCTCCTGCCATGAGCTCTTGCTTGCATCTCTATTCGTGGCCATCTCGGCTCGTTGGTTCTTCGCTGCGCTCTGATCCATCGTCCCCTGGTGTAGATTTTTGCCATTGTCGAGGAGCTTCTTTCCAGTTTCGCCGGTTTCCAAGGCAACCGGATTTACGCTGCCGTTACTCGCCGTTGTAGCCTGTTTCGCTTTGCTTTTCTACAACAAAAAACACCGACTTTGGGTAATACACGTGAAATGATACGATGGCTTACTGTGATCTCACCTTTATTCAAGATACGCTGTGCACTTGACTATGCTTTCACACTATGCTCTATTATATATCATATATTATTATCTCATATTGGTTTTAGGATCAAACTCGGCAGCGCTGCACACAAACCTCTGCATTACTGTCCATTGTCTGCTGTTCGTCTGCCTCACCCTCTTCCTCTTCCTCCTCCTCTGCTTCTTCCTCTCCCATCTGAGACTTCTCCTTTAGTTCAGCCTACGAAGAATACCAATAAACACATCATCGTCATTACTAGTATTGTACTGAATATAATTTATATAGAATAACTTACTATGCAGATGGGAAGCACGGTCACATGCATGCACTTGCGCATGAATACCTGCCCACACACAGTGTAAACTGGTAGCATTACCTTTTTCTGCTTCTGCCGCGCTCTCTTCGCTGCCTTCTTCGATATCCGCTTCTCTCGGTCGGTCTGCTCGTTACCGACTGGCACGCCTTCTATGAATGTCAGCAGGTCGGCGATGCTTTCCGTGCCACGCGGTGCCGACGAGTTGCGATCAGTGCTGTCGGATTTTTCTTGGTCGTTGTCCAGGACATTGTCTACGTGCTCGCTCTGTGACATATCAAACTGTCATTGGCTTCGTTAAAAGTTTGCCCCAAGAACACACTAATTAGAATGAGGTTAAAGTATTGCAGTAGCACCTCATGTTTGTCACACAGTGAAAGCAATTACGTGCCTAATTGCACTTCCACGTACTAACGGTAATTCGACTATTAGGACAAACAGGATCATGTACACTTCCTGCAGCTTCATGTGGTTGCTGTGCAAAACGAAACACTGCTTACCTTCCTGCGCGTGAGCCTCAATCGCAGCCTCTCCCGCATCTCCTCCTTCTTCCTGCTGATGGGTGTTGCAGCACCCTGCAGAGACGTCAGTAATTACACACGACATAATGATGAAACCAATGCTGGTCAGTCAGTAAACCCACGTAATAGAACACCGCCGAGAGGAAAACGTGAAACGGATGCTGTTGCGAAGCGGAAAAATGCATCGCCAAGAGAAGAACAACACCGGTGCAGGGTGCTTACATGCCGGCCGCGAACTAACGTTGCCGAGACAAAAAACGATAAAAACGAATTGAGAGAAGTTGCTCTTCCTTCCCCTTCCCGCGTGACTCTGCCTCCACCCGTGCGACCCTGCCTGCGCCCTGGTGACCCTGCCCCCTCCCGTGTGACCCCGCCTCCGTGAGTGTGACCCTGCTTGCGCCCCGGCGACCCTGCCCCCTCCTGCCTGCCTGCGTGACCCCGCCTCCACGCGTGCGACCCCGCCTCCACGTGTGCGACTCCGTCCCCTCCTGCGTGACCCCGCCTCCACGCGTGCGACCCCGCCCCTCCTGCGTGACCCCGCCTCCATGCGTGTGACCCTGCCTGCGCCCCGGCGACCCTGCCCCCTCCTGCCTGCCTGCGTGACCCCGCCTCCATGCGTGCGACCCCGCCTCCACGTGTGCGACTCCGCCCCCTCCTGCGTGACCCCGCCTCCACGCGTGCGACCCTGCCTGCGCCCCGGCGACCCTGCCTCTTCCCATGCAACGCTGCCGCCGCTGCGCGTGCGCGTACGTACCACGCCGTGCCCGAAGAACTCGCAGTAGTAGCAGTCGCACTGCTTGCCCTCCTTCTGCGACGAGCTCGTCGTCGACGTGCTCTTCTCCGAGCAGCTGTCGTCGACGTCGTCGTAGTCGCAGTGGCAGTCGGCGTTGCGACAACCAGAGAGCGCCGGCGGCACGTCGACGGCCTTCGGCGCGAGGCAGTGCTTGCGCTCGCACGGGTATGCAGAGGGCTCCGCGTGAGCGCGCGACTGCGCGAGCGCGCGGATCGCCTCCTCCTTCGCGACGCTCAGCGCGGCCGACTGGATCATCTCCGGCGTCAGGTTCGCCTGCAGCGCCTTCAGCTGACTGTGCACCGCTGACGTCTTGAACTCGCCGCACGGCTTGCCGGCGCCACCTGGCGGCGACTGCTGCTGCACGCACGACGATGACGTGTCGACGTAGTCATCGGGCGGCTCCTCCTCGCAGCCGTTATCAGTCGCCTGCTTGGGGGCGTTGTGGTCGCCGCTGCCGTCCTTGTGCAGGAATGAGCTCGCTTTGAGGATCTCGCTCTTTAGCAGGTGCAACTTGCACGAGCTGAGAAGGCTGCTGTAACGAGATAATAACGATCATTATAATAATTAAAATAATAAGTTATTAATAATTATTATTAATAATAATTATAAATAATAATAATAAGTCAGGGTTACTCTACCACTCGCCACAAAATAGCCAATTGATACATTTTTTGTACTGGCTATAAAAACATTTAGACTGGCTTTTTTTGTGGCTAAAAGTGACCAAACTGGCTAATTGGCAACTCACAGCAAGCAAAGATCCAGATTCTGACTCAACTGTACAGGCACCACAGAACCGAGATTCTTTGTATTTTGTTCAAGTAGGTAATTTATAATGAAATTATGTGGACAAGAAATTGCTGCAAATTATTAACATTGGATACAAAAATGGTCAATTGGTTATTTTTTTGGCTACACTTTTCAATTTCCCAGAGTAACCCCTGATAACTATATGCAGTCTAATTAATCCCTGATATTAATTATCTGATGATTATCTTATTGTTTCTATGAGTAGTAAAATAGTAATAATAAATATGAGCCCTTAACTTTGAAACTTTAATTTCAATTAAAGAATAAGACACAGCTGAAGAGTTGAGGGCAAAACCTTAGCATGCGCGAAATTCTGAGATAAAAAATATTCTATATGCCTCAAGAAATGCCATGGTTAGTGGCACAGCACTCATTGCACAACAAACTCTAGCTGAGAGAGCATCCTGTAGTGCATCAAGCACAACGTCAAGTTCCTCTTTTAAACCGAAAAGGAAATACCATACGCCACGTGCAAAATACGGTGTAATTCACCGGCATCAAGCAAAGCTTCTTTACTGCACACGAACTAACAATGATAGCGTCGGTCACACGGAGAACACGCGTGTCTGCGACGGGGCAGCCGACCCCCCTCCCCCCTCCTGGGAGACAGCGCACCTGGTGTCATACCCGTTCTCCCAGTCTCCATAGGCGTGGTAGATGTGCTCCTGCAGCGCGTCACCGGTGTCCAGGTCCAGGCTGTACGGACGTCGCTTCTGAGTCTGTGCCGTGCCTGAAACCACGCATGGCGCGTCGTGAGCGCACACACTGCGATCGCCACACGCCCGTGGCATGTGCCCCGTCCCGAAACACCGTCGTCGCAAACCAACATCTGTGTTACTTACTGTCATCACCAGTCGAGAGTGAGTAACAAAGATGCTAGTTTGCAATGACACTAGCACCTGTATCACACACTAGCACCTGTATTACACGCTAGCCCTGTATCACACACTAGCACCTGTATCACACGCTAGCACCTTTATCACACACAAGCACTGTATCACACGCGCTAGCACATTTATCACACACAAGCACTGTATCACACACTAGCACTGTATCACACACTAGCACCTGTATTACACGCTAGCACTGTATCACACACAAGCACTGTATCACACGCTAGCACCTTTATCACACACAAGCACTGTATCACATGCGCTAGCACATTTATCACAGGCTAACACCTGTATCACACACTAGCAACTGTATCACACACTAGCACCTGTATCACACGCTAGCACCTTTATCACACACAAGCACTGTATCACATGCGCTAGCACATTTATCACAGGCTAACACCTGTATCACACGCTAGCATCTGTATCACACACTTTAACATCTGTGTCACACTCTAGCAGCGATCGCAGATTAGCACACGTAAGACTGCCCTGGCAAGGTTAGCAACCCTACACCTAGCTGCACAAACACAGCGACTACAACACTCACCTGACATGTGAAGGTTGTAAGCGGGTTGAGGACAGGGTGAACCGGACCCTGAGCCTCCATGCTGGGAGCAGTGTGCGCGTGGGTAGAGGTGCTGCAGTGACAGGCCTGACACGAGGGGCTTCACACATGATGGACACTCACATGCTTTGTGCTTCGCCTGTACAAGGGCAGAACAACTCAATCAACCCAAGATCTACGCTGAAGTTGGAATACGTACGATTATACTTTTATACTACTACGCACTCAACTGTGTTGTTAAATGGATGATAAACGCGCTGTCTGAAATGCTCTGCCTTTTAAACAGACATTACATACAATAGATCCCACACCCAAACTGAAATATCATGTGCTAAACCCAATGACTGTTAGAGTCAGCACAGTCATTTAATTAGAAGATCGACAAATTAATCCATTCTTTAATCGAAGTGACTTACATTCGGGGCACAGGGTTTCTGAACACACGAGGGGCAGTCGCAATTATTGTGCTTCACTTCTGTCTTCCGGAGAAACTCTCGCCTGCAACGACACCGTCCGTTAAACACACACGACCAGACACTGACATGCCTGCAATAACACCTATCGAACAACTTAAATTTACCAGTAGGTAAAAGATATCAACTTGCAACTGTTTGCCTGCAACATTCACAACATTAAGGTTTGCTCTCTTCTAATCCTAACCCTTCCTGTTTTCACAACAAAACTGGATAGTTTAGAGTAAACGTAACACTGTCCTATCACTGGTACAAACACTTACCAGCTGAATTGCAGAAAGGCAGCACTGATGTATGCCATGTATACATAAATATTACACACTATTGGATGCAGCATGCTAACTTCTCTACTAACTAGCAACTATGTGATGATAGCAGGGCAGTAAACCAGTGTGTAATTCTGGGAATGGCTTTTATATAGCATCTAATACGGTTCCTAAACAGGTTTGTTAGATCAAGTCTGCACACTATTGTGCAGCGCAGTGACAGTGATTAGGCAACACAAATTGTCACTATTATCTTGTAACAAAGATGTCATTAGGAACCTAGACCCTTAGCAGTGACACATCTGCCTTGTGACAATCAGGGAGATATGCCTATCACTCTGATCATGCTCAGGTTGCAGATAGGAAAAAAAAGAATTGGTGACGCCAACACCAGGGAGATCATAGCTTTCTGGAATCTTCAAACGAGGTCAAACATTTGTCGCTACGTAAAATCCTCGGAGCGGATCTGCGCTGTGGACCGCAGCCGGTGATCAGCACGCACCTGAGATTCGCGGTCAGTGGCTCCGGGGAGGATGACCGGCTGGAGTTGCTGCTGGACGACAGGGAAGGTGACGTGATGTCTACGATGAGACGCGACGCCGCCTGCACCTCAACAAAGTCGTCGGTGACGTCCGGCACAATGATCTTAGATGCAAGTACCTGAGACAGCGTGCACTCGTCGCACGGGCACCTGCAGATATCGGACACACCCGGTTGTAAGACAAACAGATGGACAGACGTTCAGTACCTGAACAGAACCCTTTGCATGCATACAGAGCTTCAGGTAAATGATGAGTGAATCTAGATGGACCATATCATAACTATCAGACAAACAAAACATGATGACAGCATGCTATCACGTACCTGTTATTCTGGCACTTGGGGCAGTTGCAAGGGTCAGTTCCCTGGAAGGGACTTGCTCCCGACAGAATCTCCTGCATGGCCTCTCGGAAAGTCTCTTCGATTTGTCTTGATAAAACATAAACGTAGCTAGTCAATTAGGGATGTTATGATCGAACGAAATGATAACAGACAACACTACATGGGCAATTTGAATATTCGCTTAATTTGCAATACTCTATTAATGATTTAAATAATATTTTTTCAAACACAAGCCAAAAGCAAAAAGAAGCATACCCAGATGAATTTCATTATTTGTTTGCAGAAAATATACTAGAGTCAACTTCAAGGTAGTATAATATAGAGTGACGAGAAAACAGGAAGACATGACCACGCAAGAACACCGAGAACTGATGTTACTCAAGCACTACAGCTATAATGCAAGCAAAAGGGGTCTTCTTACTTTTGGCTGCCTGCATCCGAATTCTTCATCAGCTTCTTCAGCAGCTTCTGCTGCGTCTTAAAGAACTCCCAATCCTCTTTCAACATCTTCTGCTTCATCTTCTTTGCAGTCTGAGAACCAGGCAAGATAGGTCGAGTTTAAGGCAACGCCTAGAGAAACGCACTCCACTCTAACATAAATGGACTCTCTGTGTTCACAAAGAGGTTTCAAATTATTAAACCATGCTCAGTCTCAGAGTCAGAAGGCAATTATATATAATTTCCACGTGCTGTCATCGCTCAGGAATGCTAACAAAACTTGGGACAACCTCTTCCTGCATGAAATCTTCCATGCGCTTCTGCGAATCCCTCCACACTGCCGATATGAAGGTCATCTCATCGTCCAGCTTGAGATAGCGGTGCAGGAGGTTTGGGTAGCAAGCATCACCGCCGCTTCCCTCCGTGTTGCCTGCATACCGGCTGTTGCAGCACACACACCAAGTGTTACTCAAGATCAACACATTTTTACCCAAACTAATTACCTACAATGCAAGAAAAAGCTCCGCAGAGCATATGAGTTCTTTATCTGCAATCGGCTCTACACCCACTCAAACTACATTTAGGTGGCTTATTAATCATGGTGGCATACTATACGTAAACTAAATGCACATGTTAAATGTATTATCTAAGAAATAAAGTGTAATTTAATGAAAACAGTCTCAAATCAGTACACACGCCCTGTTAAAGCCAGGCTAATGGTAACCCCCGACCTATTTGGGAATAAACTAATGTTGTTTGCACGAGTGGCTAGGTTTGTGCTGTAACCACATTTACCTCATCTGAGTAATGATCATAGGGAGACTGTTTTGCAGGAGTGGGTCGGAGTAGATGATACTCTGGAAGAGGTGCCTGTCCAGCATGTCCCAAGTCAGATTGAAGCAGTTGAGATGCTTTTCTTCCTACAGGTCAATCAGACACAGCACGCCTCATTATAGAACACGTTCATTACAACTTGCTAGCCTAGTGAACCTCCATTGTTTGGATTCATGCAGAATCTAAGCGAACAAACACTGTAATCAGTGTAATGACTTTGAGAATTGTGTGACGTCGCCCGGAGACACTGAGGTTTTCACGACGGCTGAACTTGTACGAGCAGCGCGTGAGAAACCTACCAGCTCAATGAGAACGGATGCTACTCTGCTGGAAGCTGTGCAGAGGCTGTCGTACTCGTCGAGAAGTACAGTGATGAACTGCTTTGCTTGCTGCGGGGTCTTCAGACCAGTCGTTAGCTTCTTCAAGAGACGAACCTACGTAAAGAACCACCGTCTTATACTCACACAGAAAGAACAACATATCGGAACATGCAGCGTAGAATGCATAAAGCATAAAGTAGGAACTACAGTTTTTCATCTGAGCGAGCACAGTGTGGAGGGTTGAATTGCACAAGAAAAAAATGCAACCCTAATCATCCCAATAGGAGGCAATAACGCACAACATATGTTCATGTGCTGCTTTCCACATATAGCCGTTGATGCTACTAAGCGATTGTGCAGCTCAAGACGTAATCCCAATAATTAGGTACTAGAATGAACCATATCAGTCTCCACTCAGCCATGTAGCCATGGCGACGCCTACCTTCATCTCGATGACAAACTCCCGGGATTGGGACTCGAGTCGCTGGTACAGCTGGTGAGGGTCTCTGCTGGTCAACCTGAAATGCACGGATTTACAATCACATCTACATATGCTGTCGGTATACCTCGAAACAAGTTGGGTCTTCACGCACTGCTATCGTGTTTCATCTATTGAGTTTATCTTTTATTATTTATTCATTATATTATTATTATTATTTTGTTTTGTTTTGTTATTTATTTTGTTTTTATCCTCGAGCTTCTGCTCACCTGGTGACCATGCCAGTAAGCTTGGCTGTGTCGTGCTTTGTGGAGAGCGTCTTCTCTATGGTAGCCTCGCGGTACATGCAGCGCACGGCCTGCCGCACCTCTGCCCAGAACTTCTGCAGCTGTCTGCCCTCCACCTCCTGTTGCTCCTCGATGTCACTGCAGACAGAACGAACAGCTCACAGACGACGCCCGTCGGTACGTGTACGATACATGCGATCAGTACATGCCAGTGAAAAAAATACACGGGGGCTCGGGGCGATTTAGCCCATGAAATGCCAAAAAGAGCCCCTGAAATGCCAAAAAGAGCCCCTGTAAATTTGCATAGAGTTTAATGCAAACCAAATTTTGTCCATCTATTTTCATCCACGCGAGCTTGAAAAGTAGCACCCGAAAAATAAATTATACTTTTTTCCCTGGTACATGCCATGTGTGACGTATACAGTGCAAAGATTATATGCTGTTATTGTTATTATTATTTTAACATTTAATTCATTTGTCACCTAATCCAAGCGTACTACACTCGCAAAAGGTCAGACGCTACGCCGCAAAATGATCAAAAGACAAAGATCTTTGTAGAGTACAAAAATTAGATGGGCTTGGATTACCTACAACTACATAACTAAAGTATGATTATATTGCTAATCTACTCGTACTTGGGCTATCTTACTCTGATTAAAATACCAGTTCATGTATAAATAAGCTATTGTCATGATTGTGGTACTATGTACTACGCAAAAGGCAATTGTGTTGCTTACCGTCGTTCCTTGCAAGCTTCACAGTTGCATGGTGCGCCATCTGACGTGGTTGGCTCCGAGGATTTGCTGATCGCCACCTCAAAGAGGTCACCGGAATGGAGGACCAGATCTTGCGGCTAGAAAGGCACAAGAATACATTAATCTCTGCAAGAATCATTAGGTCAGATGTGCACACTGTCCCACTTGCACCGCGCTGAATTATAGACAGGTAGAAGTTAATGTAAACGAAGCACTTACAACTGCTGGATTCAGCTGAATGTAGTAACTGGATAATGCACTGTGCACATGAGGACTTACAAACAGCGTTGATCCTGCAAGAGCCTTCTCCTCTAGTTCTAGGTTCTCACGACATGAGGGGCATACCCACAAGGGAAGCTGCATAAACAACATGAAAGACATATATAAGTTAAACAGCAATACCTCATAATGTTAACAGAAAAAGTTAGCATAAATGCATTATCTGAATGAATTTTTGTGAAATATTTTAAAACAAAAGAAGCACAAAAAAGTTAGATATGTTACACATATAAAATTACTTACAGGATTATTATTATATTACCAATATACATGGTATTTTTTATGCAAATAGCAAAAATAAATTATGCGCATATTTACATTTAATTACTTATCTAATAAAAAAATACATTGTAAAGCTAAACTCATGTACCTGAGCCAGGGAAGCCGGGCCTGATTCCAATTCTTCCAGTGGTTCTGGAAAAACACACAAGGGTTTTATCACTTGGCGAACCTCCCATTCACAGCTCCCTCATACAATGCTACTACACAATGCTGTTTACACACGTATGCTTTTCACAGTTTACACGATTGGGTAAAAGCAGCCCCAACTTTAAAGACGTGGGGTATGTACTTTGTAATCAGAACACATCACGACTATCAGGTCTAAAGGTGAGCCACCAGGAGTACAATGACTAGCAACCAGGTTTGAAGTGAGACGATAATCAGCTACAGACGGTATCTGTGTTAACATACCTGCTGAGCTCGACTGATCAGCATCGGGACGTTCCCGCTTGCACAGCAGACACCGCTCTCCTCCCAGGTACGGATTGAAGCCCCGGGAGAATCGCTGCGGCTCCTCAGCATCCATCAACCGCTCCACCTCCTCCTGCAGACTCTAAATATAGAAAATGCTAACACTGAGAGAAATACCCATGTCGGATTTAATGAGAGAATGGAGCAATGAGGAGGGGGCATATATGAGATCGGGGAGCAAAGAGAGAGTGGAAGAAAGCGAGGGGGAGGTAGAAAGGAGAGAAGGGGAGAGGAGGGAGTGAGAGGAAGAAGGACAGGGAAATAGACAGCGTTTCCCCTGGTCAAAAAGGTCTGCGAGGTGGTAAATTTTTTTTGGCGTATTTGCACGTTTCAAGGTCCTAGCAAAGATCTGGGGGCATGCCCCTTAAAATTAAAAAAAAAAATTGTGCAATTTGGTGCATTCTGAGCTGTTTTGGCGCATTATAAGCACTGTTCTATAAAAGAACACTGATTTTCATCAGCGAGGCGGTGTTTTGGACAAATTTCTGGGTGGTGGCTAAGAATTTGAGCGAGGCGGCCCACCTCACTCGTGTCAATGCAGGGGAAACACTGATAGAAATGGGGTCTAGATGAGGATTGTTCCTAAAAACAGTGTGGTCTCAAAAAGTGGTTACATGTGCAACTCATTAGCTCCACATGTATACAAATAACAAAAAAATATCATTTCACTAAAAATGGCTTTGATTATACACTGTTTACGCTACGAACATTACGTGATAGAAGCCGTGCTGCCTTACAAATGCCCATACACACACTGCAAAACACATCTAGGTCAGACCTTGGCTTAGAGCCAAGCAACACCAGCAAAGCAAGTCTGCGTTGAGCGCAGCTATTCTTGTATGGTTATTTTTGGGTGGTGACCGGCAGCATGGGGGTGGGGATAACACTGCTGCAGTCGAGCTCTACACGCACGGCATGACGAAATTTAAATTGATTGAATCTAACTGTGTCACCACACAGCAATGGCACCTCATTGCATGCTGCTCCTTAGTGAACACCTTATCGTGTGCAGATGTCTTTTTCTCACACTAATCTCTTGTATCACAAATATCATTTATGAGAAATCTACGACAGCGTTTAGCTCCCTGCTGGAGGATCGAAAGACAGCTAATCAAGGCATATCAATTGCACATTTATTTTCTAATTCACCTAACATAGTAATGAAAACTGTAAAATAGCATTAAAGCCGCACTATGCGCATCCAAATGCTAATTTCTCCAGTACTAGACTAGCAAATACTTCGTGTCATGCATAATCACACTACCGTATATGGCAAAATAAACTCTAGTTCCTCCCATTTCAGTACGCGTTTGCTTAAAACCCACAAGAAAGAGGTGCGAAATCTGGTAATCTGGCGCCAACGCTAAATTGTTTGCCAAACAATTTCGCAAAGAATCGGTTAGGTGACGTCACGTTTTTATCTTTGCTACACACGTACCGCAGCACCGATCCACGGTTGCTTGGCAGAGCAACGCGAAAGTGTCAACAACATCGGAGAATTTGAACAACATTGGAGGTATTTTCAAATGCCTTTTATAAGACAACACGCATTGAAATGGGAGGAACTAGAGTTTATTTTGTCATAAGGTAGTGTGATTATGCATGCCACGAAGTATTTGCTAGTCTAGTTATGGAGAAATTAGCGTTTGGATGCGCATAGTGCGGCTTTAAAACTGACCGTCAACACAAAATAGTTGTGCCCTATGTGTATAGCCTGGATACTATCTGAAATCTCATTTTGACAAACTGTCTATTAATCTTAGACCTCTATGTTTTACATGGAATGGCATTTCTCATCTGCACCTATTATGTAAAATATAAAGTGCACATGTCAATCTGTGTTACAATTTCATAGGTTTACTAGTGCAATTTTTCAGGTCACAACAGAAATATTAAACGCCAGATTAACATATATTGCATCTTTAAAAAGTCCGTCCACCAGATAATCTAGCTCGATATCTTTACCTAAACAATAGTTTTTCAAGTACGCCCCTTTTGATGCATTAGATACATTAAAGCGAGTCTGACCGATAGTTAATAGCTGTGTGAATATATATGTACAGGGCGCGAAATTAGCACCAGCCCACCGGCATATGCCGATAAATTATTTGGAGGGCCAGTAAGACTAAGATTGGCAAAACACCGGCCTTCCGAGCCGGTGGTTTCAGCCGTGTTAGCGAGTATCTACATTTTTATTTATAGCATTATTTAATGAGCAAACAGCCTACATTACTGTTTTACCTGAAGGATATCACGCCATGATTTTTCAACATTTTACAAACTAGAAATCGAGAATGCAAGCGTGAAACATGACATTGACAAAAACATTTCGGACATCATTCACGATCTGGTTCAAAGCAACAAACAAAATTTGTGAGGGCTGGTAAAAAACTGCTATTACCAGCCATCTGGGCCGGTGCAAAAAAACCGGAATTTCATGCCCTGTATGTATATCTATGCACACATCTCAGAGATATAAAGCACTTTTACCCTTATCAGACACTGATGGTTAATATGATGTTTAAACCTATGTTATGCACATTGGACGTATATGCCTGCTGCCTGTACATGTATGCTGGGAGCCAACAAAATATTTGCCACTTAGGGTGCATGCATGTATGTTTATAATTATCTTGCAATAAGTAGCAAAGGTTTGCAGACCCGTACACAAATCATTATGAACTTAAAGCATGGTTAACATTATCATACAGCATCCAAATATTCCATTTTTGCAGTGTGTGCAAAATGTTGTTTTTTTCATCAAATAAACGTGTTGTCATTATTGCATTGAGTGCTAATATTATAATGTTTTGTGATTTTTAGTTTTAGGTGACTACACCATAACCACTTGTAGACACTTTGGTCATCACAATAATAACATATTGATAAATAAATGCAAATTGTATTTACTACCAAACTGTTGATGCCTACGTACTCTCTAGCTCCTAATAATCCAACTTAAAATATTAAATGTGGTTGAAAATGCTCCTCTGCAACACACATTCCCACCACACACATGCCATTGTCTACAAACTCAGAGAAAGATAGATATAGAAAAGCGTGAGTGCTTAATTTAGACAATGCTCACTTCATTTCATACTATCACAAATACACAACTATTCACCTCCATATCTGTATCTGTGCATAGCCGAATGTTCATTTGTTCGAAGCATCACCCTTGCACTTTGGTAAAACAAAATTTGTCCAGAAAATCTGATAAAATCCTGTGGGAAACTCCCATTCCACAGCAATAGTAATTATGTAATTCTAATGTGAATACTAAATGCTCAATCTTGCTGTGAGATTCTGCACAGTGCTGTGTGTGTGCAGTGCGATTGTGTTGTTGAGAGGAGAATTTTTTGGTTCATGGATATAAGAGCTGACCATAATTAATTTTCGCAACGTGCGACAGGTGCAACGTGCAAATGTGGACAGCTCTTATATCCTTGGGGGCAGAATTTCAATGGTGTTTGCCTAAAATTACAAGCCATCAGAGAGCACCTATTTAAGCACTTAGACTTTGGTACTAAATATAATTTGTGTTTACTTACCATTATTTTGTTAATGAAAGGACCCGAATGCCAGCGACCCTAAGATTTTGATTTAAAACACATGGATCGTCAGTAATTTGGCACACGCTAACAATATTTAACCCAAGTTCAAACAAACCAGCAGTTTTAATGCTCGAGTACAACCCCCTTGCATTGTGGCTGTGTAGAAATGTCTGCCTGTGTGAACATTGGCTTGGACTTAGTGATGTGGTTATAGGCCTACACGTTTAATATGCCATTTTCATCATGATCATGCGCTAGTATTGGTAATATTACTATAGACTATAGTTCAGCTTACTAAACAGTACCTGGAGATACTTTGGGGAGCTAGATCAGCTGCACTCACACCCCTATAAGGGGACAGTCACGGAATAAATTTTCTCTTTTTTATATTTGTATTCTTTGCAGGGAAATACCGATCTAAAGGTTCCCAGTCATACATACATACATAGTAAAAGTTATATTATAAATCGCTCGTGCGGCATGTCGTGAATCCACTCACGATTCAACAACAGGCACTTGGAACGTCTCAATAAAAAAAATTAATGGTAAATAAACACGAAATGTACCAAAAGTCTTAATGTTTCTCTACTCTATTTTGCTTCCATCTTCCAGCTTCCATCTTGGTATCTATGTGTACATAAATGTTCACTTGTTCGAATTATAACTCTGGCCTTTGTTCTTACCTACTCCCGCCAGAGATATCTCGTGAAATCTTGCAGGAAATGTTCTCTCCGTGAAAATGTAAAGAGGACGAGGTGTCTGTTTATACACGAGTAATAGGGCGCATTGCATGCCGGGATGAGCTGCTGCCGGCCTCCGAGCTCCGTTTCGAGGACGCCAAGCCAAGCACAATGCGCGCGGGCATGACGTCACACACACACGACTACAGCGATCGATCGAAAGTAGCGCCGTTAGGGATTTTCGGATGATACGTCCTCTTTACATTTTCACGGAGAGAACATTTCCTGTAGGATTTCACGAGATATCTCTGGCGGGAGTAGGTAAGAACAAAGGCCAGAGTTATAATTCGAACAAGTGAACATTTATGTACACATAGATACCAAGATGGAAGCTGTTGGATGTGTTTTCGTTCTGTGATCGTATGAAATGAAACGAGCGTCGAACGAATTTAGGGATCACGCTTTCCTACCTGCCCTCTTATTCATGTTGTTTGTGCGCCGCAGGGCGGGCATGCGGTGTACTTGTGTGTTGCAGATGAGCATTTGACCGGCATTTACAGGTGATTATAGGCAAAATAGAGTAGAGAAACATTAAGACTTTGGTACATTTCGTGTTTATTTACCATTAATTTTTTTTATTGAGACGTTCCAAGTGCCTGTGGCTGTGGATTCAACGAAAGGAACACGATAGATGAACACCACTGGTAGAAATAGTACATGACATAATCGGAAAACCCGTACCTCTTCCGAATGGGATCTTTGCTCATTATTGCGCACAACCCCATCATGTTGATCTCGACCATTTGCCTGATGGGTTGCAGTTTGCAGTGCCTGTTGCGAGTTGGCAGTGGCATTGGAACTATTAGGCCTTTTGTCGTTGGACTTCTTTTTTGACTTTTTCTCTGGTACACCGGCCATAGTTCGGCAATATAGACATACGACTTTAGTCAATGATTATTTCCGCTCAGACCAATATCATTAAAACATCCGATAATTCCTTAAAAGGACAAAATACGCGTATTCAAAACCAGCAACAACATTGACCACAATAAATATGGCGGAACAAACTTAGTCCCATAATGCCATACGCGTTGTATATTTATATTATTTATTTTATAATTATTTTAAACACGAAGCAATCGAGTTTAAAAACTAATACTAGACTAATTATTTGAAATTTAACTTTGGTTGCATGAAAATGTGATAAGCATTTCAATGCACTCGTAACACACGTTTTCACTTCAGTTCAGATATTTCCCACAACTGATTGCGGAACCTAACATGGCGAGGATGGGCTGAAAGTCGGGACGTTGAAATCTATGTAAATATGTACACAGTTTTTGATTGACTGCTGTAGTAAAACGTGTATATGTGACAATGTATTTAGGCGCACAATATCAATAAAAATGTTATTGTTTCGTATTGAAGCGAGTATGGTGGTAATTTGTTTAATATCAATGTGTTTATCTTAGCGAGTAAATTAATATCTCAGGAATTTGATTCTGTCAGAGAGGTTCGCCAACTTCACCCAGCAGAGCAGCTACAGTTACGTTATTGCATCTGGCTTTCTAAAACGCTACGTTATGTGTGTTATATCACGTTTTTAAAAGCAAGCCAGCTATGATGATCAAGCTGGAATCATTCATTTGGGCATGCATTACGTCGAAAATAATCCAGAGTTTAAATATTAAGTTAAAGGCATAATATTTCCATCGATTATGCAAAGTTGACGAATGCTACAGTAACTGGCACCTTGTGTAGTTAATAAGTACATTACCTTATAGCCAAACGCGTATTAGTTTGTCCAATATCACTGCTAATTACTAAGAAATGTCTAATTGAAATCCGTAAATTTGGTAATCTGGCGCCAACGCTAAATTTATTGCCAACAAAATAAGCAAGGATTTCGGTTCGGTGACCTCACATGTTGCTACAGGATGTTGAGCATCGAATTGTTTGTCCCGGGTAAATTGTTTGCCTAGTGTTATTATTTGCCTAGTTGCCACATATTATATGTTGCTTGTAATCTCAAGAACTTCGTATATTCATTTATTCCCGAATCCTAAGAGTAAAACCATAACGTACGGAATGCGCACTCAGACTACAAGGATCGAAATCACTGACGGCCGAGCATACGTGCGAAAATGTCCGGTGCACTATAATCTGTATGACACCGCCTCGCCGGTTACGGCCGGTAATAGCCGGCATAGCGGGTTGAAACTGTCAACAACGGATTTATTTGACCGCGGATTTCAATTGGATATTTCTTAGTAACCAGCAGTGATATTGGACAAACTAATACACGTTTGGCTATAAGGTAATGTACTTATTAACTACACAAGGTGCCAGTTACTGTAGCATTCGTTAAAATTGCATAATCGATGGTCATCTTATGCCTTTAATAGCAATATTGGCAACATTCATTGATCAATGCTTCAGATACTTTTACGAACTATTATTTATTCCTTTCAGATTGGTGTGCGTGACAGCTTGCTTATGTATCAGGACGTAACTGAAAGATAGAGAGGAATGTGCAGACGTTGTCATCGACAGTTTTGCTGTGTTTTATTCAAATATAACAAATAATCGTAAGCGGCTTTGGTTGTCGACGAATCATGGCATCCAGTGTGGAACAGGAAGCCGGTACGTCTGCTGATGCACCTGACGCTGGCGACACGAAACAGAAAAGGGGATTCCAACCACTGAAAAGCATGAGGAAGTTTTTTTCCCGCAAGCCGCAAAAATCCGGCGAGAAGAAATCAAAGTCCACGAGCCAACTCGATGCCGTGCCTGCCGAATCGGCCTATCACAAACCGAGCGCCGGCGCATCGGGCTTGAGCAGGTCACATGACGACGTTTTTGCCGCGAGCCACGCGGAAACAGAGAAGCTGGGCATAGCTGCCGTGTCGATGGAGGTTCTGCCGCAGGCGGGTCGGCCGTGGAACGTCTCGATGGACAGCGAGGACGAGGGCCTTCCGCATTCACCTTACAACGTGTCGTCGACCAGCGACGTGCCCAATCCACCCGAGTCGAGAACGAAATCTGCCTCGAAGGCATACAGTAGCGACAACAGCCTCCTGAGCATCAGCAGCCTCGACGAGGACGAGTCACAGGAGCAGCCGGGGATAGACTTTGACACGGATGCGTCGCAGGTTAAGAGCTTAAGCAGCGCGGCGGCGCGGCACAAGATCGCCATTCGCCCGCAGCAGAGGCGGCGACCGCGCTTCAAGCCCATCCCCGAAGACCCGCTGCCCCCGACGCCCGAGCTGCCGGAAGATGCTGCGGAAGACGCTTCGCCGACGACAACGTGCGCGCCGCTCGTCGTCACGACGACGACTCCAGAGCCGAAGCCGCGCGAGAAGAAGTCGACGTTCGCCGGCGTCAAGCGTAAGCTGTCGCGACGCGACAAGGAGCACAAGCCGCGCAAGATCTTGGAGACGTCGTCGACGACGAAGAAGGACGACAGTCCGGGTTTCTTCGCGCGCATGAAGCGCTCGCTCCAGCGCAAGTCGACGCGCGAGTCGAAGTCGGCACCAAACTCGCCGACGCGCGGCACCGACAAGCCGCCGGACGCAGCGGCAAAGCACAGGTCAGCTAGTCAGCTTGAGGGGCTTCCTTCCCCCGTCGAGTCGGGCGCGCTCGCGCTGGCATACGACGAGAAGGTGACGAGCAAGCCGCCGATAGCCGGCATTCACTTCACGAAACGGGGCGAGGGCTACCGCGCCGCAGACGACGCGGGCAGTCCCACGACGAAGCAGCCGAAGACGTACAAGAGGTCCGTCTCGAAGGACGCGCAGACGCCCGACGCGAGGCACTTGCAGCCGGGCAAGAAGTCCGACGACATTCGCCGAACGAAGAGCGAGCGGATATCGCGCGAGCGCTCACCTGCCGCCGCCGCTGCCGGCCAGGACACGGCCGCCGCTCCCGTGAGCAAGCTGAGCCGCGACGCGAAGGCGCTTTCGATGAGCGAGCTCGCGGTGGAGGCGGCCGAGCGCGGGGGGCACGTGCTGCGGCCCCGCGACGCGGTGGCTACAGCGCAGCGCGGCGACGACGCCGATGACAGCGAGAGCGAGTTCTCGAAGGCGGTGGCGGGGATCACGAAGCGCGTTGATGCGACGAAGCTCGAGTCGCTCGAGAAGAAGCGGCAGAGCGGCAGCGAGGCGGAGGAGGGCGCTGGCGAGGCGTTGCCGCGCGTCGTCCTGCGGAAGACTCGCCGTGCCGAGCAGCTCGTCGAATCACATGTCGAGTGTCCGCCTTCGCCGCCGCCGATATTTCAGCCGTCGCCGCCAAAGCTAAAACATCGGCCCTCTCCACCGCAGCCACAACATCAGCCCTCTCTTCCACAGCCGAAACATCAGCCCTCTTTGCCACAGCCGAAATTTCAGCCCTCACCGGCACAGCCGAAATTTCAGCCCTCGCCGCCACAGCCAAAGCATCAGCCCTCGCCGCCACAGCCAAAACGTCGGCCCTCGCCGCCACCGCCGAAACGTCCACCCTCACCGCCACAGGCCAAACATCCACCCTCTCCGCAGTGGAAACCCCCACGTCCATCTGCTCAGAAACCTCGCCCTGCGTCTCACAAGCCCGAGTCTATCATCCCCAAGCCAGCGCGCCGCGTCCCAGAGCACGCGCCCACGTCCGAGATCGCTGGCATTCCGAAACGTAACTCGGCCGAGGTGGAAATACTGAGGAAGGCGCCTGCGACTAACGATCGGGCGTCATCCCGCGAAGCCCTACCAGTGGCTTCGTCGCGGGAAGCTGCACCGTTGGCGTCTTCGAACAGCGTTAAGTCGTCGCACGCTGACAGCTTCCTGAGCGAAGTCATGTTCGAGCTGTCTTCCTCGCCCACCGTCGAGCAACCTTCGTGCCAAAGTCCGTCGCCCGAGCTCGCAAACAGCTGGACACGGCCGGAGAAGAACGTCGACATTGTCATCGTCGACAAAGAACGCAGACCCGTCCCCGACGAGACGCCGCCTCGTCCTGCGAGAAGTCGGACGCTGCCCGGCGTCGACGCCGCGGACGTCGAGCGTGCGCAGGCGGTGATCGCCGCGGCTAAGCGCGCGGATGCGGGCCGCGAGCGCAGCCACACGCAGCCGGTCAGCGAGGGCGACGTCGCGCGCGCGGAGCGGACACTGCGCGCGCCGGACGCGGACGCCGTCGCCGCGACGACGGTGCGCGCGGCCGCGTCTCGGGCGCCGCCGCGGAAGCTGGAGCTGCGTGAGGGCGTCGCCGGCAGCGGCGGAGACGAGGCGCCGTCCTGGGTCGTGCTGGCGCAGCGCAAGCACGAGAGGTACAGCATCGATGGGCAGGAGAACGAGCTGAGAGACGGTACGAGCGCGCCGGCGGCGTTGGAGCCGGAACAGAAGGCGGCGGCAAAGGCAGAGGTCACCGACAACCGGCGATCGTCACGGGTGCTCGAGATGGTAAATAACTTCCAGAAGCTGCAGTAGGTCATGTTGTTTCGTTTCGGGTTGTTGCTGGTTTAAAAAAAATGCTACTAAGTACTTCTACTTTCCTTTGCTCTTCCCAGCTCACTTTCACACTGAAGGGGAACAGAGTAGGGATTCATTTGCATATGTGCGCGTGACGTAGATGGAAGGATGGAAAACTAGTTATCGGCTTGTATGCGTTTGTGAATTAAGATATTCTGTACCTGTCTTGCTCAGAGGAAATGTTTTAAACGCTATACTTCATTTCCTAGTATTGCATCTGTAATTGATGTGCTAATGGCAAGGATTCTGCCTAATTATATATATATATATATATAATCGGAGATTCTATAAACACCATATTGCGAACAAATGGGTAGCCACAGCTTGCAGCACTGCTGTATCCACTTCTGCTTTCCCCGATCGGATTCCCCGAGGTATTGGAGGAACTCCTTGTTGTACATTTGTAAATATGTGTCGTTTGCAACTCTGTGATGTTTTACCACCATTGTTGTGTGTGCACGGAGTCGGTAACGAAATCCTGAAAACGATTTGTCGGGCAGTTTCCAGGTGGCCGTACGCATGCGATCTGTGCATTAAAGTACGTGTAAGCAGTAAACTTTACATACATGTACGTGCGTGC